GTTTTCCAGTGACGGCGCCGGCGAGAGGGACTGGCCGGAGAAGAAAGGGGAATATTCCGTTGAGTTTAACAGAATATTCCTAACGGACGTTGACGGCGTCAGTTTAGGGTTAACGAAATATTCCGTCAGTTCAACGGAATATTCCTGACGGCATCACTTGACGCCGTCAGTGTGCCTGGCACGTGACCGCGCGTGGGGGCGCGTGGGTCCGTGCCTGTTTTGGCGCGTGAGGGCGCGTGGGAGGTCCAAAAATTATTTTAAAAATATGGGTGTGATCGTGAGGTTGTGTAGATCACGTTGGTATATTCATTTGTCCATTTTGAGCAATGTATGAGAAGTTATTTTGAACGGACGGTTATGTGCTTGAAAGTTAACGTTTTTATAGTTAATTCGCATATAGGTGACACGTTTCCCGAGGACGAGCGTGCACACTCGAGGCAAGGGGGCTACGACCCTTCCACATACCAGTGAGTGGGCTTTTGTTTTCCGTATATACCTATATACATATTATTTCCCAGAAATTAGTATAAATGCTTCGTTTTATGCCATTCTTTTTATATGATTGATGGTTATGCATGATTAGTGGCATATACGTTTAATTATATATTTGATTATGCATATGTCATATATATAATTGTTGGTGCTGTGGAGGCATAGGTAAGTGCCAGGTAAGCGTTATTTAACGATTGCATTAAATAGTGGTTAGAGATGCTTAGAGAGCTCATAACCTGCACCCCCGGTGTTAGTGCTCCTGCCCAGAGTAGGGCACAGTCCTTCACGTGTTGTTCACCTCCCGCACCACACGCTCAGCTTGAATCCAAGTTAGGTGCACAGTCCTGTCGTACATACCACTATCGGTGGTTCCGACTCGTAGGTGACCCGCGATTATTCGCACAGCCTTCACGTGATTGTAGCACTAGAGCGTTCATATGTATTACACCCAGGCCTGTCGTACAGACCACTATAGGTGGTTCCGACTCGTGGGCAGGTTTAGTGATTTAGTGGAGATTTGAGCTCTAGATCAGCCGTACAGGTCACTTAGGGGACTCCGGCTGCCAGTTTATTATGCTATTGATGTGATTTATACCTGAGCACATGCATGATATTATGAGGTTTTGTGATTGGCCTACCCTTGAGCATGACTTGGCATATTTACGTATATGTGTTTATTTTCTGGGAAGTATACAGGTTTTACGGCGAGGGGTTAGAATGTATTTTATGAATTGGTTTTCAAAGAATTTGTTTTTGCCCACTCACGCTTTTGTTTTGCGCCCCTCCAGGTTCTAGTAGCTTAGCGGGTTTGGTGGTTTTCCCGGAGGACGTCCCGGCATTCTGACAGACACTCACCTACATAGGGTCACCTTCGGGTGCACTATTGTTGTATCGTTTCTTTTGGACTGCTGTAGGCTTAAAACTCTGAATTCAGCGTCTTACTTTTGCTAGCACATACTTTATCACATTATATTTGCTAGTTTTAAATTATTCGTACTTTTACATTACTGTTTTTAGCTTCCGCACTATGCACATGGCTACGTCACTTCCACGTGACGGCCAGCATGCCCTGATCTCGGTTGGGGTGTGTCAAATGATATTATATAACGTAAGGCCAGAACTGTGAGGAACCAGTCAAAAGGTGATGCCAAATACGTAGACTCGAAAACGAGATTGACGGGGAACTAAAGTCAGATTCCGTACATTCTCATTGCATTACTTTTAAGTCGCCACGCACATGACAGTGTATTTATTCAAGGAGGATATAAGGTGGCTAAATAATGGGATTAGGGCTGTGGATGCATAATAATACACATGATTGAGGAATGGAAAACCTCGAGTCAAGGCTTACAATCCTAAACCCTAAACCAAAACAATAACCAAGTGACATGTAAAAAAATTCATTTTAATGCTCATATCACAAAGAGAAATTATATGATACATACAAAAATGGATGAACTGTTAATTTAGTCTTTGAATGATCACTTGAGTGAATAAAGTCTCTAAACTATTTTTTCAGAAAAATCAGTTATTGAATTATAAAAATCAGCCAATTACATCCCTAATATTATAATCGAAGCTAATATATTCAATTTTTTGTCAATTTCAGTCACGTTACTTGCATGTGATACATATTAGATGATAGATTGATAATTTTTCAGAAAGTAGTGTATGAAGTTAACTTTGGAGGCAGTGGCGAAGCTACGTGAGCGCCTTCGTTGTCTTGGTCAAATTTATAGAGGAAGGGCGCTAATTTGGTTGGATTTGCAGAGGAATGACGAAGACGGAGGAGAGAGGTTGGGGCCCCTGAGGGGGGGGCCGGAAGAAGATGGAGGAAATAAGATTGGCTGAAGAAGAAACCATAGCCATGGCATGGAGATTAGTAGACATTGGAGAAGAAGAGTTATGTTTGGTATTGGGTTTGAAGGGGTTGGTTTGCGTTTGGTTACGAAGATAGAAAAATTTGAGATTGTTTTAAATTTTGTATTGGGTTTAAAGTTGGTTTACGTCGCCCCACCTTTTTTTTTTTTGATGGTTTATTAATCCATTTCTTTCATTTATTATTATTATTACTATTTTATTCTTGTATGTATTTTTATTTTCTCTTTTAAGACTTCCATCCGTATTTATCGTAAACTCTCATATTATTTATAAATATTGTATTACTTTTTAAAAACAATGTAAATATTATTTAATATTTTACAATAATTTAAATCCATCTAAACTCCTGCCTAGATCTCGCCTAGGCACCTAGCTACTAGGTGCCAGTCCGTTTTTTGACTAGCGCCTAATATTTTAAGAGGATCTAATCCTAGCCAACTTAAGCTTCTTACATTGGTTTTGATATTATTGCTTACAACCGTTTTGATGGGGAGACTATTTTCTACTATGAATATTGACTCAAAACTTTGCACTCTTCAATATGAAAGCAACTGCTTCGATTGAACGTTACACTCTTTTGAATTTCGCCCCTCCCCTTGGAAAATCATGGCTTCGCCACTGTTTGGAGGGTAAATTAGATGTTAGATTCGTAACCTATGTGAAACGTTAAGGGCTTATAGGCGAGAAAGAGACGGTATTACACTCTAAAATGTGTTAAGTGATTTAAGTTGACGAAAAAATAGATAAAATAGCTTTGAATATAATAGTAGAGATGGAAGTTAGCAATTTTTAATTAATTTAAGGACTTATTTTACTTAAAAAATAATTTAAGTACCTAATAACATTGTCATATGTTTCTAAGTGAACACAAAGCAGACAACAAATCAAAATTAACACAAACTACTGAGGTAGATTTTCTTTTCTTTTTGTGTGGATCTACTTACTGAGTTTGAACCTTTTTGAACATATTCAACGTCCAATATTCTTATCTACATGCGCGAATCAAAATTTCCTTTTCACCATAGTGTGGGACAAGTACTTAGATAGACCAAACACACTGTTACAGTAGTGTTTCGATTCAATAACACAATAATATATATAGTAAAATAAATGTGATATTGTACTGAACATAGACGCTATTGTGGTGTATTCGGTACATTAATACTTTTGAACATTAAATATTAAGAAACAGGACTGCCCTATTTTTCTTTTGTTGGTTTAGCTGTTTGAATAAATAAGCAAAAGAGATTAATCTTAGCTTAAGCCAACAAACAAATAAATGTTACCGGATCTACTAAACTATACAAGTGGAACAAGCACTCAAAACTGCATGTGCTTTTAGTACTTTTTGTTGGTCTAAGCAGATATGGGTTGGTGTTAAGACTTTGACTTAAGATTAACGAGTGTCGGTCGTTATTTAGTATTGGTGTTAATCACACATATAAAGGAAAATCACATATCCACCTTAAAGTGCTCCTTCCACTTCACTGCATACGTAAATTGCCAAAAAAAGCAATAAAACCTCATTGTATTTAAGCCACAAATAAGGTAAACAAGTTGTTGACACTTCCTAAATAAAAGAGTACATATAATATTTGGAGATTTCCAACACCACTCGCGCGTGAGTGCATGATGCAATTTCACTATCACTTATTTGTACCAACATAGAACTAATACTAACACAACTCGTAGTATTTATAGACGAGTTGCATTGCTTTTACGTGTCAATCATACGAGCATAGGAGTATACGAGTGGAAGGCGAAGTTCACTCGACGATATTTAGTAACTCAGGAGAAGTCAAATGCCAAGTGACGAAACAACCCCCGGCACAAGACCTCCGATAGTCATGCTTCAAATGAATGTTTAGGGACCGTACAAAACGGTTACTACAGGCCGCTCTTATCTACAAATGAATGATTGCAATGACAAAAGTCAACCTACATCGTGCACTCAGGCTCATTAGGTCAATGCGTTTGACATTAAGCGCACTTGAAATAAATAAACTATTGCAAACAAATTATCATACTTTTATCGATCAGAAAAATATTCTTTTTCGATTAGCTAGTTTAAGGATGTGCACGGTTTGGTTCAAATACATATACGCATTCTAGCCAAATCTGAGATTTTACATCAAATATAAATCGCTTTAGAGCTCAATCCAAGAACCAAATCATCACTTACTTATCAGTCCAAGAGAAAAAATGAAAAGCGAAAAGAATCCCAAATGAAACCTGCAAAACCAGGTACACATAGTCAAGTCTCCTTTTTAGGTTTCCACACTAGAGAAGGCAGTATTCTATGGCGGGAGAGATTCTTGTGTCCGCCCGTCGTATACCGCGACAAGACACAATGAGGTCGGAGCCGGGTGCTTATGTGTGCGAGTGGACGACAATGTGGTCGGTCCTGAGGGACAACCCGAAAAATTACTCTAACAATCAGGCCTTCTGTAGGAGAAAAACATTTTATCTACAAATTCACAATCATACTTCAACTGAAGCAAATTACATTCGTTACAAAGGAATTGTTACTTATTACATAGAGAATGTGCTCGGCAACACAACCACAAGGTTTTCCTTATTCGCAACTGATACAACTATAAGTTTATAGCTCAAAGGCTATTTTTTTCCTCTTGACCTCAATCATTCTTCTTCACTGTAGCTGATTTGATAATGTCAATGAACTCCGGCTAACCAAAGAAAATGCGCGTGAAAGAATCAGAAACCAAACTTGAAGAGAAACCAAACATATAATTGAGACGCGGCGCAGAGAAAAGTTATCACCTTGAGGGAAGCTCCGCCAACCAAAAAGCCATCCACATCTGGCTGTGTTGCCAACTCCTTGCAGTTTGCTCCATTTACAGAACCTGAAGGTGATTGCATGTGATTAACAAAATTTTGCACAACCAGTAGGAATTATATCGAATCAGTCCCTCATCTCGATAATTGGTTTTATTATGTTCATTTTGTGCCACGCAGGGATAATTATCTTCACATATGCCTAACAGAGTGAAGAGTGCACCTCTATTGATTCTCAGCCCAAAAGTTCAAGCAATACAAACAACAAAAATTGATTCCGGTTTATCTTGGAGAAAACAGTTTGAATTCTTGGAGATCAAAATATTTCAGATTCTGGTTTGATCTTTCAGTATTCTGTTTTCTGTATTCACATATGACTAACAGCATCAAACCACTGCAATAGCCAACCACCCGCCGCACATGATAATAAGATTATTCATTTCAACACTAATGCACAACTTGATTTTATTGTGATTAGTCAGTAATTTTACACTTCTCTCCAGATAAAAGACATAGGACACACATAGTATTCATACTAATAGAAGAAGAATACCTCCATAAATGATTCTGGCTGATGCGGCGACTTCAGCACCAACATTGTCATGAAGCCATTTCCTCAATTCAAAATGGACCTGGTATAAAAATCTCTTCAGCAAACTTGATATACAAGACTAGTGTAACAAGGGAACTAACAACTGCTTTTGAGAAACAAGACTGTTTATGCAAAAACTTAACAAAATATAGAACGCCAATTACACAAAACATAAATTTTACATTCAGCTGAGGATCGAAGAACAGGATTGTAAACAAAATTGTACACAAGTGAAATCATATTGGAAATTGTTCATTTGTTTCCCAGGAAAAAAGAACTAAATAAACCAATGGAGTTGTACTATCGTGTAAATCAGTACGACAGAACAAGCAACTGTGCAAGGATTCTCCTCTCAAAGTTCCGAATCTGACTTCAAACTACTAGGACATGTGGCATAAATGTACTCAACAAGCTAACATAATATAAACTGATGTCCTACACAAAGGTCATCGATACTGATGTAGTGATGTTACACAAAATAGTCAGATGTATTATTTACGAATGTAACAGAGTTAGGACTGAAGAGGGCACTGGAAATCCAAATGTGACAATAACAGTTCTTGCAACATAACAATGCAACGTATTAGCATTGTAATGCATACATTTTCTCAAAGCGCTAACATTCTAAGAAGAAAGATTGCTCTATGCATATACCTTTACAATAAAATATAAAATATAAACAGGAGTCACATCCGAGCTACAGCATACTTGCAAGAACAAGGATAACATTCACCGAAACAACAAAACATACAAGATAAAACAATGTTAAACTTACTTCCTGAGCCTGAGCAGGGCTTGCAGCCTTCCCAGTTCCAATGGCCCAAACTGGCTCATAAGCCAAAACAATGTTCTCCCAGCTCGATACTTTATCTGGAAGAGAAGAAAGAGCTAATCAGCTGTCAGATATCAAGTGGATGAAGGAAAGAAAAAGTCAGAAGATGTAAACCTTGCAAACTTAGAACCCAGACATAAGCATAAATCAGAGATCCTGGAACCAATCTGTACTACAGGAATGTCTCCGGACACCCCAAAAAACATAAGATACAAAACAATGAACATGGGAAATCTTTCTTGGGTCACCTGCAATTGCTTTTGTTTGCGCGGAAACAACAGCCACCTTTAGAAACAAATCTATTGGGAAGTTGGATTGGAGAAACTGGACCCCGGGTTTGATAAGAACTTGGTGATCAAGCATTCAGCCAGCCTGTAGCAGAAAAGAACCAACAGGCGCATTTCGACCTTGACATTGAGAACAACAGATACTTGTTGTTCAAATCTTACGGAGGTACAGGATTCCAATCCATTCTTTTTCTTTTTCAGTAGATGGTTGTAAATATAATTTGTAGAAGGACGCTGCACATTTGAGGCACGCGTCCGTTTCATTAATGCACAAAATGTGTGGCACAAGTTCATTCTCTCTTCCGTGTAACAAGGACTCACCGTCGTAGAGGTGAGCGGGAACGATGGCAGTCCAATGTCAAATGAGTTTTGTAATCCAAATGTGAAATCTTTCATTATAGATGTCTCTACGTTCAAAGAAGAATTCAAATTACAGCAAGCTCACTGCACTCCCGTATATAGTTTCTTTGAACCATTAAAAGGAGGCCTTGAGGCCCAAGCCCAAAAACGATAGAATATCCCTGGGCCTAATTAAGCCCAAGGAAACATCCCTGACCAAGCAGGACCTCATTTTCTCACCAAATGACATGACCAGTACTATTGCTACACATGTCCATTTTCGATGTCGTCCGTGAGCTTTTGCTCTAGGGTTCTCCATGCGTCCATCTTCCTTGAAATCCCATCTCCATGCCTACGCTTACTGATGAGTACCACATCTTCAGAATTGTAACCTTCCCATGACATATAAACTACTAATATGTTTTTCTCCCAAAGCGAGTTCGTCACCAATTGGTCAAGTCTAGTAGTACATGGACGGTAGTTGGAGTCGGCAGCTCTCCTTGGGTTCCCTCATTTGAGATTCCTGTGGAACAAGATCAAGGGCCATCCTGGAACGCAATGAGTTGAAAAGAAAGATCCTAATTCCTAACCAGTTGAGCAATCCACCGCTTGCATACTTGTTTACTGTTTATTATTGTTGATTACTTGAGTTTTCATGCTTTTGAGAAAAATATGGAAATAAAGAGAAGGTTAAAAAAAATGCAGCTATGCAGGAAATGGAACAGCTAAAGTTACAATTTGGTGATTAAGAAGATACAACATCGTTACAAGCTCACCTAATTTGGCAAGAAAAGGGTGAAATTTGAATTAACATTTAGCCGGAATAAACTGTACGATCTCGGACAAACATTCGTATATTGCAGCAGCGTTTTCCATTTACTTCGACTCTATTGTGAAGCGTAAAGTGGGGAAGCAGAGGGCCGAGGATAGGCGACAGTATTCGTTGCCTTGTTAGCTGCCCTTAAGGCATCATCTGCTGGTGCTGCTGCGCGCTTGGTTTTGCTAGCATCGTCTGCACTTCGTCTGCGCATCCTTTGACCATTACTCTGAGTGCCTCCGGTGGCATTAGAATCTTGTAGTTGTTCGAGTGCAGTTACAACCTCGTTCATGTTTGGCCTGAGCTTGGATTCTGTGGATATGCATCGTGCTGCAAGGGTTGCCGCCTTGTGAGCTCCGTCCATTGAATACTGACCTTCCAGACGGTTGTCAATGACGCGAAAGATCTTACGCTTGTTTGCCAAGAAGGGTTTAGCCCACTCCACCAGATTGTGCTCTCCGGATGGCCGATTCTTGTCAACTGCTCTCCGGCCGGATAACATCTCCAATAAAACGACTCCGAAACTATATACGTCGCTCTTGGCAGTTAGATGACCTGGAATTAGTGAAAAGTGGAGCCGTTACACGGGCATCGATTTTGATATACGCTAATCAGGAATATGAACCAAAGCACATGGCAAGATTCCAAGCTGAATTGTCAAAAAAAAACTAGAGATTCTAAGTCAGTTGACCACTTAAAATTAACATAAAACTCTCGGATCGGAGATGCCAACGGGCGGAATCGAAGTATAATACCTGTGGCTAGATATTCTGGAGCAGCGTATCCGTAGGTACCCATGACCCTCGTAGAGACATGGCTTTTATCACCCGTTGGCCCGTCCTTGGCCAAACCAAAGTCGGAAAGTTTTGCATTGTAGTTCTGGAATTACATCACAAATCAAAGACATTCCCAGGATATCACAAATAAAAAATATTGCAATGAACACATTCGATAGTCACATACCGAATCAAGCAGGATGTTTGACGTCTTGAAATCTCGGTATATCACTTTTGTTTCAGCACTGTGAAGAAAAGCAAGCCCCTTTGCAGCACCAAGGGCAACCTTCATGCGGAGGTTCCAAGAAAGAGGTTGGAAATAAGAGCCTCCTGGTACAATATCAGTTCAAGACTTGTCAACACATTAATTTCTCAAAACAATCTCGTTTCAAAGGCATCCAGACATGTTGCTAAACGAACTTACTCCTGAACAAATGGTTTTCCAAGCTGCCTCGAGGCATGAACTCGTACACCAGAAGTCGGTGTTCATCCTCCAAGCAGTAGCCGATTAGTTTCACGAGATTCGGATGATAGAGCTGTCCCAGATAATTCACCTCTGCCTATAAAACCCAAATGGAAGCAAACCGTAAGTCATAACTGCGCAAGTTTTCGTTCTGTGAGAAGTATACAGTCGGGAAAAGAACTCACCAACCACTCTCGGTGACCCTGAAAACTTTCTTGGTTAAGCCGTTTCACAGCCAAAACTATGCCACTCCCGGGCTTTGCAGCAGTGAACGAATTTTCATCAATCCACCCCTTGAAAACTGAACCGAATCCACCTTCTCCCAACACACTATCAGGACGGAAATTCCTGGTGGCCAATTTGAGGTCATTGTAACTAAAGCTCTTCAGATTGGGAGACTTCAAGATCTCGCCCTCACTCCGAGGAGTTGGAGGTGCCGAAAATGATGAGACCTTACTGCTTGTGCTGCTGAGGTCCCCATCATTGCTAACAAATTTTGAACCTGCACAAGTAAACGTGAAGCGGAAATCAATTTACAGCCCCCGCCAAGGCATCGATAAGAAAACACACAACTGAACCGAAATCAAGCAAGCTCGCAAGTGATGGATTGCCCTGGCGGATAAGGCCTTCTTCAATCCACTGTTTCCCGGGTTCAAACATCCCCATGGAGTAATAATATCGATTGTAATAAAAATAAAAAATAAAGCAAGTACCAGTATTAACAGAGCTCTCAACTTTGATTCGGGCGCTCAGGCAGATCCCCATGAAACCTAACTCTAGAAAAACCAACCAGCTTTTTTCAAATTCTCCACCTGCAGATCACACAAATTTTGTTTCAGCTGAAAGCACTTCAGATGAACTTCAAAACTGACAGATCTAGAGTGAAAGCAGTAACTTTTCAACCCGAAAAAAAGGAAAATAACAGAAAAAGTTGGTATCAAAGCTTTCAAAATTGACTGGTTTTAACTGAAAATTCAATTTGTTTCTCTCCGAAACAAGAAAGAAACTTACTTTCTAAATCTAAATAAAAAATTAACAAAAACCCATGAACTACAACACCATGAACCCAAAAAGCAACCTCTTTATTTTTTTTTCGAAAACTGGAATGGAATCAGAGAGATAGAGAACAGAGAGGGAGGTGGGCTGTTTATGCTTTTTAGTGTGCTGGTTTCTACTTTCCAATGCGCAGAGACGCAGAAAAGAAAGAGGTTTTTTGTTCTGAGTAGGCGCAAGTTGACTTAAAGCTTTTGGTTTGATGGAGCGAGGATTGGGCTGTGAAGGAAGGTGGGGAGCAATGCATTGATGGCGAGCTGGTCCCGCTAGCTCTTCAGCTCAACGTTTTCTACTGCTCTGTTTTTTGGTTTTGCTCTCTCGCTCTCTCTTTCTCTCGCCTCTCTCTCTCTCCTCCTCTTGCTCTGTATTATTCAGTCGATGCAGTGCAGATAAGGCTGCTCATATCTGCTTAATCTTTCTTTTAGCCGTTTGATTGGGTTTTCAAAGATCCCAATCTTCCAAGCATGAGAAATGAGTGAGATGGCTCGGCTTTAGCCTTGGAGCTTTGGCACTCTACAACTTAATTTAATTTAGCACTGAATTTTTGTGTCCTTTTCTTTTTCAAATTTGATTAAGTGTCCATTTCAAAAGAAAATTTTGGTTAATTGTCCACCTTCTATGCACATGCACGTGAGAGTTATTGGATACCGTATCGTGGGAGAGAAAAATAGAAAAAATGGTGTGCTGCAAAAGCAGAAAATGATGCATATAAAACTTAGGGTAGTGCACTCGTTCTTATCTCTTCACTCATGTTTTAATAAAAATTTAATTGCAAGTTTGTCTATTCGTAAAATAATTAATAAAGACTTTAAAAGATATAATTAATAATATGTTGGGTGCGAAAAGGTAATAGGAGTCAGGAGCCCTAAACTTACATTAAGCTGTGAAAGGAATGGACAATATATAAGCAGAATTCACAAAAAAGACATAAAGAACGAGGATAGAAGAAATTCCAGAATGAAAAAATGTGGATGCCTTTTCTAATGAAAGGGTAAGAAGCTAACAACTAATAATGATTGGATATTGATGGTAGTTAGTAGGGTGCTTAATCACAAAACAGCAAAACATTTGGAGAGTCATTCATTTGCTGGTAGATATTTGTCGAAAAAAACTTCGTTGTTGAGGAAATAACATTTCAATTTTTTGGGAACAGTAGTGGATGGAGAAATAGTATTTCAATTTTATAACTTTTTATGGTGAGTGAGATTATAATGTGAGTGAAGAAATTGGACATTAGGATGGATCTAGCAGCTCTAGAAAATTATCATAGGTTAGAATTGTTTAAAATATTACTTTTTCGTTATTAATATTACAGTTCAATGCATTTTTCTCCATTGTAGGTGAGACTTTAGCTAATATGAATGACAAATTTGGTATCCTATGTCTGGTAATTGGTCTGTTCCAATTCTGATAGGTGCACCTGACATGGCATTTCCACGATTAAATAATATTTCATCTAATCCACAACACACCCCCCCCCCTCCCCCCTCTCTCGTGATAGTGTGCCATATTGATTTGAATTCGACAGCTAGAAATGTGTACATAGGAGGCCTACATGGGTGGAGGTAGACAGTTTGTGATGGTTCTGCAAAATTTGGGACTGGGGTGGGTTCTGGGAAATGGTGGGCGGACTTGTGGTATCGGGGGAGGTCGTGCAGGTGGATTTTGGGAGGATGGGTGGCTGGGATTTTGGGGGGAGGTGATGGTTCGGCTGGTTTGTCGTTGTTTTTACTTTTAGGTTATTTTAGGCGGTGCAGAAAAGCAAAAAAAAAAAAAAAAAAATTCAAAAATTAAGGTCATTTTAGAAATTATAGTGGGTTTTTTTTGTTTTTAGTCAAACAATAACGATATTAAGTTAGATATTATATTATTATGTTGAGAGTTGAATTAGTACTCCATTGTTTTTAGCTTTAATGGTTGGTGGCAAAATATATGGAGGGGGCAGATAAGAAAAGACTGGTGGGCATGGTAGCACTTCTCTTTTA